AAACAAGGCAGAAACCCCAGCTTTTCTTACCATAGACATAGCACACTATGGGCTACAAGATGCGCGAAACCCCGATTGAAAAGCGCTCCCGCACCTTGGAAGGTTCCCTAGTTAGTGAAGTTCTTGAGTCCATGACATCAACACGATTATCACTGACATGCCGTTTCGATTCTATACAAGGTTCTTTTCTAAAATTTTCTAAGCAATAATGTTTAATCATAGGCAAAGCTTCTTTTAACGAATAAGCTCGATTCATTTAACTATTATTTAGTTCTGATCTCCGAACGATACCAAATGGCTTTCTTTTCTATTTCATCTACATTCTTCATATAGCAAATGCATACAACTTTTCAAACTTTCACCACGCATCTTAGCAAAGATTCGAGAGAATGGAAGCTTCTGTCTACTACTATATATGGTACATTTCATTTGAACTATACAAAACTCATGACTTAAAAGATTGTCTTCTCATCAGCATCTTCTCTATGCCATATTAAAAGAAATATTGAGATTTTTAATATTATCCTGAAAAAAACAAAGAAAAATTCTGAAAACGACATATTATAGACAACTGTGTCTTGGTCAGAGTTCGAACAAAAATAATTGTATTAAAATAATATTTTGATCTAAAATATCGAACGTACAACCTGCTTATACTTTTCTAATTAGACCTTATAGAAGATAATTTTTTTGACGATAAGAAAATAGATTCAAAGTTATATTAAAAGTTTTTTGCAGTCGATTAAATTGTATTTATAATTATTCATTTTTCTTTTTTATTATAGACAATAATTCAACTCAACTAGAACTTATTTTACTTGTTTATCGTTTTCTAAATGAAGAATTAACAATTTATGCTCAATCAATTCAAGCACAACGTCGTCGACAAATTCTAAATCAAATACAAAAACGTTTAAATGATATTTTATTATGTTTAATTCGTATATCAAATGATCTTTTAACTATTCCAGAACAACATGAACGTTTAACACAAACATGTCTTTTATGTGTAAATAGTTTTCTTACATGGGTTGAATATAATCATTTTGAACAATATGAATTATTTCTTTGTGAATTATTTTTAAAATTTTTTCAATTGAATTCTGTTAAATTACGTCATGCTTCATTTGAATGTTTACTTAGTCTTGTTAATAAACGTTTAGCACGAAGACAATTACAACAACAACAACAACAAAGAAACAAACGTATTGCTTCAGCACCTTCATCTGCATTAAATTCTCAACAAGAAAAACTATTTCTCAATTATTTTCTTGGAGATAATACATTAGAAATATTCTATCGACTAATAATTAGTCCAACAGTAAGTATTCTTTTCTCATGGAAGAATTTATAGTAGGAATTTTTGTTTTGTTCAAGTACGAATTTTTCCATTCACTAAAAAGTTATATTCATATTCGTTTATACTTTAGTGATTATTGAAAGAGAATATAGTTTGACATGCATTTATTGAAAAGATAGTTTTCATTTAAATCCGAGATAAGCAACTGTATAACCAGAATTTTCAGACCAATGGGCAAGATTTTTATTGATGGACCAAACAATTTGTGTTCAACAATGTACTGATAATATGAAAAAAATTGAAATGAGGTTCTTTTAATTAAACATGCATTAGATTAAGATCTTTGATTAAATTGTTGTACAAGAGTGAATTATTATTCTGAATCTCGAGTGAAATATGCAGGTTTTTTTTTGTATTAAAATATCTATTGTCTTTTTCTATGTGAAATTTAAGGATTCAATTGAACAATTACGTTCCATAGTAACAAATGATCATATAAATTGTTTAAAAATGCTTGGTCAATTACTTGTTAAATTATCAAATTATTTATTACAATTATTTCAACAATTAGCAACAAAATCGATTGATGATAATGATTTTTTAACATTTGTTAATGAACGTACACGTTCATTTTTACAATTTCTTCTTTTACTTAATCAACATCCATTCCATTTATTATCATTAAATTCTTATCAAGCATTAAATTTATTTATTATTCGACAAACAACATTATTATCGAATGAACAATTTTGTTTAAAATTAATTTTTAATTTAAAACAATCATTGCATCGTATTCATTTTCCACCACCATCATCATCATCAATGTCAGCAGCATTTATTGATAATGAAAATGAAATATTAAAAACACAATATATGCATAATCAACAATGTTTTATTTATGCATTATTTGAATATGATAGTGAAGAACAATTCTTCTGGAAATTTTTTTCACAATATAGAAGTGAATTACAAAAATTAATTAAATCATTTATTGGTTTATTCTTTACTGAAACTGTTGAAAGTAAGTTATATAAATCAAATTGACATATTTGACTATAGATAGGTTACTATCTTGTTTTATTTCGCATCGAAAAAATGCATTGATAATGGATAATACTAGAATGAGAATAACTTTTGATTTAAATCAAGAAATAAATTTTTCCGTAGAATAATATTTTTTTTTTTCTATCACATTATTGGTATCTAGTTATCGAATAAAATATGCATGAAGCAGAGATGGAACCGGTCTGAAATTTTCACAACCGGTACCGGTACCGGTCTGAAAAGTTCAGACCGGACCGGACCG